TCTAATAGAGAAAGTCAGGGTCTTGTCCCTTCAGGCCATGTTCTAAACTTTGCACGCTCAGAGCTCACACTGAAATTTTCCTGAACAATGAACACGTCCTCTGATAGGAATTTACTGACTTTTCCTGAGAAATATGGCTATCACGCTTTGCTTGGCCATTTTGCAAATCTAGCTCACGCACATATGTAGATTGTTAGAATTCCCACAATTTCTGGCAAGAACCCTCTATTCTTAATGTTTCTTTGACTTGGTCATGGTTTCCCCTTGCTAATAGTCTTGTGCTCATGAACATCCTTGTAAGATGACTGTGCACTCTTATTAGTTGGTCCTTTTCTCTTTATGTGATGGCCTGGTGCCACCTTGATTGCTGTTTTATTCGGTCCAGAGCTTCTCCACAGACTTTGTCCCTGCAAATTGGACCTTGAGTGATAGATAGGCTTCCACTGGAACTTCCCCAGAGTTTAATGGAAATAAAAACTGGATACACGTCATTGTAACACAAGATAAGATGTGACTGACTAATGTGAGAAAGGAAAAGCCTGGGGAGTTTAGAGATTCCTTTTGGAGGTGATATTGCAGTTCTTAAAGATGTTTCTTTATTTTTTTAAGTAAATAATGTCAAAGTGCAATGCATTTTTGAAAAAAAATAATATAATACAGACTATAAAAAAGATCCACTGGTTTTATTTTTTATTGATTTTATTTATTTTTTTTCAAAGACTTTATTTATGTATTTGACAGATAGAGACACAGCGAGAGAGGTAACACAAGCAGGGGGAGAGGGAGAATCAGGCTCCCTGCTGAACAGGGAGCCCAATGCGGGGCTTGATCCAAGGACTCTGGGACCATGAACCGAGCCGAAGGCAGATGCCTAACAATTCAGCCGCCCAGTCACGCCAAGTACCACTCATTTTAATGGTTGGCACCTTTCAAATGAATGAAAATAGCAGGATTTTATTTTTTAAAATAGTTGTTTGTGGGTGGGATTCTTTCCAGTTTCTGATATTACAATAAAGTTGCTTCTCACCCTTGACATGTATCTCTGGATCTCAGAGAAAGTATTCTTTATATGCTTTCCATAACAACCATGAACATGAAGAAGATGCAGAGGGACATTTTTGCATCAATATGGGAGTTTCTCTGCCCTGTCAAGTTCCTATTTTGTATAGGTGTTTTTGAATGATCAATGTCAAACATGGGAATATAAATAAAACACAATTAAAATTATGAAGTTTCTGTGACGATGGCTGTAAGAACATGGGCGTAACAAGGTTAACCCATTTTTTGGAAAAGCTTGATGTGCATAACGATAATTTGGTGTAACCCTTATCAGAAATCCAGAGTATCATTTAGAGCAATAGATTATCGGGCCAGCATATAATTGAAATCCCTGTCCATTAAGGGATTTGATGAATTTAATTTTATGTGGAAATAATATCATGCTGTGGACACAGTCCTATTTCCCATCTGGGATCTGTGTTTCTGTGGCAATGAGATGATTCTCGTCTGGGAAGCAGGAGAGGATCTGCTGGGACATTGATACTTCTTTAGGAGTTACTTTCAGAAGAATCTCTCCCTTCTGCCCATCCCTATTTCAGTCTGCCTGTGACCTTGGGAATGCTGTCACCATATCCATCCATGATGGGGGTCCCCTAGGTTTTTGAAGTGACATAAAATTGATTTAACATCAAGATACTGGAAACACTCTGGCTGTCACTTCCTCAGATCATCTATAGACTTTAGCTGCTTGGTGGCACCAGGTGATTTCAAAGCCTGTTAGTTAAATGTTCTATTATATCACAGTTCAGGGTACAGACAAATTGGTTATAGCCTTGAGTCAATACATGGGAAGAAAGCTCACAAAAAGTGTCAGAATATGGGCGCCTGGGTGGCTCAGTTGGTTGAGCGACTGCCTTCGGCTCAGGTCATGATCCTGGAGTCCCGGGATCGAGTCCCACATCGGGCTCCCTGCTCAGCAGGGAGTCTGCTTCTCCCTCTGACCCTCCTCCCTCTCATGCTCTCTCTATCTCATTCTTTCTCTCTCAAATAAATAAATAAAATCTTTAAAAAAAAAGAGTCAGAATATATCTGCTCATGTGTTACAGTAGCATAGTCCTGGGGAACCTGGGAGGTGGGACATTGAGAGAAACCAGGCTTCAGGTGCCATAGAACACAGGTAGATGGACTTTATCCCACGTACACCTTCCATGGCATGTGCATATACTTTATGTCTTGAATGTGTCCTTTCCCATGTTGTGAAGTCATTCCTGAACCAAAGCCTCCATCCCTTTTAGCTGATGGAACGTTTCTTGATTTGGGTTTCCATCCTGAGTTGTATCAGCTTTCAAATCCAGGGACTGGGACACACACCTGATAACTGTCTGGTGGGACAATTGTGCATGGTGTGGCTCAGACTCAAACAACATATGGTCATCAAATCCACAGTCTCCCGGTACATTTGAGAAAACATCATCCTTAAGGTAAAATTACACAAACTCTCAGAGATTCATGGACTCTGTTGTCCAAAGATACTCCCACTGGCACTGGTGGGATCATGGTCCCATGCATTCTGCTGTGGGGACATTTAAAAAAGTTTCAGATATCATATCCATCCTAAACCAAGAAAGTCAGGCTGCCTCTCCACTCTGTTTTTGACAGCTTCTTTTGACTTTTAGGAAATTCAGTCTAATAGAAGAAAAACTTTGACCCTGCTGGATGAGACAAGGACTTCTGTTCTGCCTCCAGATCCCACAATTTCCATTCCTGAATGGTTCCTGTGCATCAGGAAGGCTGCTCACTTGCCATACCATCCAAAATGCACCTGCTTCCCCTGTAGGGAGACATGGTGTGATGCTAATAATGTTCCTGCAATTGTTGACTTCTGGGAGCAAACATCATATCCTGTTCAAAGCCCTGGGCTCATTGCCAGGAGGTGCATTCTTCTCTGTGCCACTCATTGAGTCAGGATATGTATATGGGCCACATTGTGAAACATAACTTACTGCAAAATAATGTAATAATTGCATAATACTTAATGGGATTGCAAACTCAAACAAAAATTGAATCATAGGATGCCTGGATCAGAGTAGAGAGGGAAATAAGTTAGAATATTCTGAAATACAACACCAGATTACAAATCTGAGCTTCAGCATATACAGCAGAAGGAATTTATCACAGTCTCTTTGCTATAAGTAAACAAGGGAGGGAGGAAGTGTGATGGAGTAAGGGTAAGGTTCCCTACACTTGTCTCAACCCTGGGACACATTTAGGTAGTTATCAAGTCATTCTGACAAACCAAGAAATCAGTCAGAGGTCTGAGAGTTGAGAACTGCAAGTGTACAAATTGAAAATCAAACACGTTTTGGAATGTAGGAGGTGTGCAGATTTGTCTTCTGGGTGATACAAGTTTGGGAATGACCACCGGGAAAGAGTGAGCCTCCTGAAGCTACCGACAATGTGTTATAGAGGCAGAGAGCAAATTCTGAACCTTTTGAAGTCCGCTCCTGTGGCGATGTGCCTGGAATACAGATGCTGAAGTGGCAAAGTGGGGCAGAAATACAGGGTCTGAGGATCCCCTGAGCCGGAAGGAGAATGTGCAGCACCAATGTGATGCATAGTTACTAGGCATAGGAGCCTGAAACCTGGTGGAAGGGTGAGTCTCAGTGCAGGCTTTCTGCTCTGCTTTGTCGTAAATGGTGAACCACTGTGTGGTCATGTGACCTCTTTCCTGAGACTTGCAGGGAAAAGGCAAAAAGGCTATGAGACCCTCTGCTAGAAAATAGCATAGGTCCACCCCATGTGAGTCCTGAATTTTGAAGTTTTGAAACTCAGTCATGTGCCTGAGTTAGAGCAGCTCCAACAAAGGCAGGGTGAACACAGGTTTCAAATGGAAACCGGGGACAAAAAAGGGTTAATTGCTGTTCTATGAAAGCTCAATGAAGAGTGGAGGGTGCGAACTTACAACACCAGTTTAGAGCAGATGCCATATTTAACAGACCCATCAGTGCAAAACAGCTCTACCTATTGGAGGCCAGAGCCGCTTACACCAAGCACTGCACCAGGCTCCCAAGATGGGCATTTCCACTAGGCCAGAACCCCTGAGAAGAACCACAACAGGCACCTCCCTGAGATCAGCAGAATCTATTCCTTCTCACCAAGTGTAATGATCATTGAGTGCTGTGAAGTTTCGGCTCTAGGGGAAGTAGGATTTAGCTTTCTTTCTTCTTTTATTTTATTAATTTCTTCTATTATAACTTTATTTTATATTTAATTTTATTTATTTTTCGACCTATATTCTTTTTTAGAAGCAGACCAAAACAAACCCAGGATCTTCGTTTCTTGATTTTCTTACCCTATTCTTTTTTTATTTTCTGAAAAAAAATGAAAGTATGGAAAATTTACCTCAGAGGAATGAATAGGAAGTAAATCTCATGCACAGGCTTTTAATCAATACAAATATAGGTATGATGTCTGAACTAGACCTTAAAACAATGATTTTAAGGATACAAACTGGGCTTTAAAAAAGGATAGAAGACAGTAGAGAATCCCTCACTGCAGTGATAAATGAATTGAAATTGAATCAGGCCCAAATTAAAACAACAACAACAACAACAAAAACCCACAAACAACTAAATCCAAGATGCAATCCCAAGTGGAGGCCACAAAAAATGAGGATGGATGAAGTAGAGGAGCGAATCTGTGGTATACAAGATAAAATTAAAGAAAATGAGTGAAAAGAAGAGGGAAATCAAGGTAACGGGCCATGAAGGTAGACTTAGTGAATTCAGTGACTTATTAAAACATTATAACATTTGTATGATAAGAGTCACAGAAGATGAAGAGAGATAAAAAGGGGGATTAGTTTTATGCCATAAAATAATAGCCAGAAAGTTCTCTAATATGCAGAAGGACACAGACATCAAAATCCAAGTAGTACAGAGTACTCCTATTAAATTCAACAAAAGCTGACTATCTCCAAGGCATATTGTAGTCAAACTCACAAAATACAGCACAGACAAGTAAAGAATCTGGCAGGAGCAAGGGAACAAAGGGGCTTAACCTCAGGGCTCTCAGTAAAACACAACTCTGTAAAGTGATGATCAGACTCAAATCCCACAGTGTCATCACATCCACATCTTCTGGAAGACTGAAAAAACAGCATCCTTAAATTAAAGTTCCACATCCTCTAGGAAACCCTGACTCCCTTGTTCCACTTTCTCCCTCTGTGTGTCCACTGTGTCCTTTCACAGAGTCCTAGGAGAGTCCTGGTTAGTCCTATCTGCAGGAGGGAACATGTGAGAAATCCACCCTCGAACCTCACTGAAGGGAATTACAAGGTTCTTTCCAATCAAATGCAGCAGGGAAATGACAGAGCATCAGTGCTTGGGTTCATGTGTCACTAATGTCTCAGTCTGTTCCAGCTGCTGTAACAATGTACACGGACTGCATGGTTTTAAACAACAGACACACATTTCTCACAGTTCTGGATTCTGGGAAGTCTAGGTCATGGTGCAGACATTTGGTGTCTGGAGGGTTCCCACCTCCTAGTGTGTTCTTTCCCTGTCACCTCACATGGGATCAGGGGCAGGGCAATTTCCCAGTCCTGTTGTATAAGGGTACTAATCCTGTCAAGAGAGTGCGCCCTCCTGAACTAAATGATTCCCTAAGGCTGGTCCTCCTCGATCCATCACAATATCCTTAGGATTCAGCCTGTGATGGTCGAGGTCATACACATTGAGCTGATATCAGCAACTGAAAGATAATTAGTTATTTCCCGCAGGTGGAAGGCTCCCCCATCCAGCACCTCAGCCTGAGAATTCTCATGGATCCAGTAGAAACTTCTGGTCTCTGTGTGCACACAGCAAACACAAGGATGTCAGAACCAGTTTGTGACCTTGGGGAGTGGACAGCTTCCCCTGCAGACACGGGTAGAACTCAGTCTACTTCTATCATTGTCTTTCTACTTGTGATGTTTCCATGGATTATTCTTCTAAATTTCCAAGGATTCAAATCATTTTGTACTCAGAATGGCCATTTCTCTCTTTTGTTCTTGCCATTTTCACACGTGTTTAGTCCAGTTAGTCATTACAAGGTATCTTTTGATTATTGCCTGTTAGCTCCTTGACCTTCATTCCTCACTCTTCTCTTCCTGCCTCACAGATGGAAACTAACAAGAACACACCAGTTCTCCCTCCTTTGATGCAGGTGGGAGACTGGCTCCGGAGAAGCCCCTCCCATGAACAGGTTCTCATCCCCACCACTGACCCTCACACACCCCCTGAGCCAGTGTCCTTCCTTGGCTCCATCCAAGCAGTTATGACTTGAGGAGAGGCCTGCCCTGCTCTCAACAGACAAGATGGTAAAAGGGATGAAGGTTTTATGTTCTCATGTTGTGTGTGTGTGTGTGTGTGTGTGTGTGTTCGATCAACAAACTCTACATCCACACCATGTACTTGTGGGGTCCCTCTGTGTCCCACGCTGCCACTAACATTGTTGGGAACATGGTTTAAGACAGTGAGCCCCACCAGGGATCTTTCTTCTCTGGCTTTGGGTTGTTGATGCCACTGTAGCCCCATATCCAGAGTGTACTTCTTGCAAGTTTGCACACTGAGCTGGATTCTCCTGATACACAGTGAGTGCAGCTGGGACTCTTGAAAGTATTCAGGGGATTTGCATGGAGATATTTTAATTCATTCATATTTAGGTCCAGGAACAAGAAAGTGCAAGTGACACTGACTTTTGCGCTTGCTAGTATAGCAGTTCCTCAACTTTTTATTTATGTCAGAGAATGTATAGGTAGCACAGAACTATGTGTGCAGAGAGGCTCCTGGGAGGAAACAGCTATAATTAGAGAGGAAGCCCCAGACCCTGGGAGGAAACCTGCCATATCCTCCAGCCTCATCTGCTCCTGGGCCTTAGATACAAAATGGTGAGTAGTGTGCACCCCCTGGTGGTCCAGATCCCCTTCTACAGTGAGGTTTGTGTCTGGGCTCACACTGAGTTCCCCTCACAGTGTCACCGGCACAGTAATACACGGCCGTGTCCTCGGCTCTCAGGCTGTTCATCTGCAGGTAGAGCGTGTTCTTGCCGTTGTCTCTGGAGATGGTGAATCGGCCCTTCACAGAGTCTGCGTAGTATGTGCTACTTCCATCATAGCTAATAAATGCGACCCACTGCAGCCCCTTCCCTGGGGCCTGGCGGACCCAGTTCATGTAGGTGCTGCTGAAGGTGAATCCAGAGGCTGCACAGGAGAGTCTCAGGGACCCCCCAGGCTTCACCAGGTCTCCCCCAGACTCCACCAGCTGCACCTCACACTGGACACCTGTGGACACAAAACATCCTGGTCAGGAACCTGCACAAAACCACTCTTTCTCTCACTCACCTACACTTGTACACTCAATGTGTCCTGTTCACCATAAATTACCTTTTAAAAGAGCAACAAGGAAAACCCAGCCAAGTGCAAACTCCATGGTGAGTTCTCTGTGTTCTCTCCTGATCACTGAATGGGAACACCTGGGGAATCCAGGGCTGGGTCTCTTCTCCCAGCTGCAAGGATTGGGGCTCAGCTGGTTTAATCAGCAGAGGGAGGGCCCTATTTGCATGTCCTCTGAATATATTTTCAACTTGGGATCTATGCTGACAGAGAGGGCACTGTCCAGAGCAGGTGTGACTGCCATTGATGTGGTGCTATTGTCATTTTAAAAAAAATATCATTTATATTTGATAACTTTCCAGTGTATATTCGTGGCCTCCATGTACTACTTTGGTTTTCCATGTAAACATAAATCTTGGGGTTTAGGTGTCATGCTCCCCCTTAAGTGATGTGAACCTACACCTAGAATTGTGGACGGTTTGTGAGGTGTCCAAGCATTTATGGGGTGAGAGTGAGCCCCGGGATATGTCGGTGCTCCTTCCACAGTACTGTGCTGCATCCCTGAAACCACCCTTGGGACAGAGTGGGCAGGCTCATGAGGAAGGTGGAACCCCTCCCGTAATGGGGACAGAATGATTTTGCTTGTTCTAGAGTTTACCTGAAATACAGAGAGAATCAGGATTGTGAAGGTGTAATTTCCAGTCTCTCAAACTTTATTCTCTCTGTGTTCCTCCAGAATCATCTCTGTGATGACCTGTAATAGCTCTGATGTGTGTGCTTGTCACATTATGAACTACGCACATGCAGAGTGTGGGATATGATAAACACCGGTGTCACAATCAATATTATCGAGAGTGAGCACATCAATTCTCCCTAAAATGTCCTGTACTTATCTTGGATTTCCTCCTCCATCTTCCCCTATTCACCTTGTCCCCACATAACTATTGAACTTTCTCATATCACTTTAGACTACCTTCAATTTTGTAGAATTCATAAATAGATAATGGTATCATATGTTCTATTTAGTAGGGCTTCCTTGGCTCAGCAGGAATCCGTGTTGCTGTAAGTATCAGGAATCATTGGTTTAATGACCGGCATCTCTGAAGGCACAGGCTTGGAAGCAGCAGCCAGAGGAAGACCTGAAGAAGCAGAAGGAAGCCCCTTGTTTCAAGGCTCATCCACACACCCTCCTCTCCCAGGAGCTCTTGGTCCCAGAAGGAGATTCAATCCCTTGCTGATTGGTAACATGATCTGCTGGCTGTGGAGAAGAGACCAGGAGGCAGAGCAGGTGGACAGGAGAATGTTGAGGTAGAGGCTCTGAAAGTCCAGGCGATGGAAGCAGCCAGGAACTGGGATGAAGAGCAGAGACGGAGGAAGTGGCCAGGCTGCAGAAGAAACCTCTGCACAATAAAATTCAAGACTCAGGTACCAGGGTGTGGAAGTTACAAGTGTTCAGCCTCTGACTGTGCCCCTATGTCCCATGTTCTCCACTAGATTCCACTGCTAACCTCAGGTGTGAGCTGCAGGCACCACCTGGGCACAGGAGCTGCTCTTTCCTTCAATCCAGGACCCTTCTTTCTTTGTCACCAGGGCATGGAGCGGACCCATTTCTGCAGCCACACTTCCCCACAACCCATAGAGTTTACCTGACATGTATGGACTCTCCTCTTGTAGAGAACTCTTTTCCTACAATACTGAGGTTCATAAGGAGGCTCCACACCTGTGTGTCTCCTACTGACTTCAAGTACTTATTTACTTTGAGGCATCGTGGACCCTGACTGTGGGTTTTAACTCTGACTAGAATGTAAAGTCTCTGTATCAGGACAGTGCAAATCTATTGCCCCTCTGTCCCCCTCCCAGTTTTCTATGTTATCAGAAAATAAGAACCATCATCCACTAAGTTAGGATGTACATCATGTCTTTCCTGAGGAATAATATTGTGTATCAGATTCTGTCCTCTTCTTTGCACAAATTGAATTTAGAGCAAAGGAGACAGGCACTCCAATGGGGATGCATCGGGAACTGTACAAGCAGGAAGAACACTGTGTGGACCCACAGGGAGCCTCCCAGCAGTCATGTCATGCTTTGGGGCAGGGCGTTTTGAAGACACATTCTTCCCTTGTAAGTGCTGATGATAACAGGGAACACTGTGCATTACACACATGCGCCAGTCCTCCCATAACCTGAGGTGGATGCCAGATATTTGATTCCCTTCCCTGATTATGTCTCATGATGTTTTTAACTCTCTTATCCCCTTTGTTGCTCACTTTTTATTGGGGAAAATGGTTAGTTTGAGAGGAGGAGTGTCCAAGATTCTGGAAAGCACAGGTTCTGTCCTTAGAGAAAGCTGGGCTACATGCGTTTCCTGTCCATCCCTGTTTTGTTAGCTTCCTCCCAGGAACCACTTTGCCTTTTTCACTAAAGGTGCTTTTTTCCTCATCTGCTAAACATCCTCTTAAGACTTGGTTCAGCTCACGGAAAATCTTTCTCATAAGTCCTTCCTTGACCACCTGGCCTCCTCAGATAAGGATCATCACTCACTTCTCTGTGGCTCCCAATTTCTCTCTCTGTGCATCTCCCTCAGGACAGGTACACCACCGAGGTTTATGCCCTTGATCAGCAGCTAATAGAGGCAGAGAGACCTCCAATTTTCTTAGTCCTCTAATACAACATTTATCTTCATCACCTTTGTACCTTGTATCGCTGGTACAGAATTCAGTCAGTCCCTCCTGAATAATGTTTTTCCTGTAGACTTGACATGACTTATGGACTCTACTCATCCCCTGTACCTGTGCATGGGGATATAACAGCATCCGTATTCTGGCCAGGTCAGTTCTAGGCACCTTGTAAGTTACTAACCCTATCTTACATTCTTTCCACTAGTTCATTCAGTGTACCTTGTGAACAGGTCATTGTAGAGTTTGTGATGATGACAAAGCAAACATAATTTCCAGAGCCCTGAGCCTCCTAAAGTCCCACAAACAGATGCAAAATGCAGTTCCTTTATTCCTTTCCCAGAAGTCTAATGTACAGTTCCATAACTGCTTATGTAATTCATTAACAAATATTTATTTTGTTCTAACTTCACAAACTATGGCACTGCTTAGTCCCTGTGAAGACAGCAATGACAGAAATAGAAGAACTTGCCTTCATGGGGCTTACCTATGAGGAGGGAAGACTGACCATAGCAAGTAACCATCCTCTCTTCCTCCACATGGTAAGACTCTCTTGCTGACCGTGGTGTGGAGAATCGGTGGGGATGGGATGGGGACATGGTAGGTTGGGATCAAGCAGGTGAGGAGATTCTTGCCGGTGTCCAAGTGAGAGTTGATAGGAACTCCGTCCAGGGTGGCAGCAGTGAAGGGGTTGGAAATGGTTGGATTCTGAATGTGTCTTGA